GGTCTTTTTGTTACAAATACCTGAAAGTCTTTGAATTCATCAAATATCTTTTTTTTTTCATTCAGGATAACTCAATTTTGCTGGATAAGTTATTCTTGGATACAACCCCAGCTCCTTTGCTCCTTGAAATATAATGTTCCAAGACCCATCCCATGGTCTTTTAGTGTAGAAGCTGCTAGGTCTTGGGAAATCCTGACCATTTTCCCGCAGTATTTAATTTTTTTTTTCTTGTTGCTTGCAATATTTTCTCTTTAACCTGGGAATTTTGAAACTTGGCTATAACAATCCTGTAATTTTTCTTCCTAGGACCTCTTTCAAGTGGTGATCACTGGATTCTTTCTATTCTTACTTTACCTTCTTGTTCTAGAACTTCAAGACAATTTTCCTTAAAAATTTCTTGTAATACAGTATCCAAATTCTCTCTCTCTTTTTTTTAAATCATAACTTGCAAGTAGTCTGACAATTCTTATATTGTCTTCTCTAGAGCTGTTCTCCAAGTCAGTTGTTTTTCTATTCATATTCTCTTCTATTTTTTCTAGTTTTATTATATCTTAGTGTCCTATGACATCATTCACTTCCACTTGCTGATTCTAGTTTTCAAGGAGTTATTTTCTTCCTTAAGATTTTGTATCTCCTTTTTCAATTGGTTAACTTTCTTTTCATAATTTTCTTCGATTGCTTTTGTTTCCTTAATTTTTCCTCATTCTCTCTTATTTTATTTTTGAATTCCTTTTGAAGTTCTTCCAAGATTTCTTTTTGTGCTTGTGACCATTTGATGTTACTCTTTAGAGTAGGAGCGGCTTTTTTTAACCTCACTGTCTTCCTCTGAATATGAACCCAGATCTTCTTTTTACACCAAAGTAGCTATCAATGGTCAGTTTCTTTTTCCTTTACTTAACTCATTTTTATTTTTAATTTTAATTTCTCTTATTTTATTTTTAGCAGCTTAATATTATTATAATCAAGTTTTAATCCCAAGTTGTGGGTAATGGTGCCCTAAGACTCAGATCCTTCTTACTCTTGTTTTCTGAATTCTTATAGGGGCTCAACCTTAGGGACTCCTCTCTTTCTCCCCTAAGCCCCAGCCACACTGTCCTGAAAATATTCTTGTTCCCTGTAGTCCCGTATTCACCCACACTCACAGCTGGGCATCATGTCTGCTCAGCACTACTAGGTGCGACTTCCAGAAACAGCTGGGCATCCTTCAATCTGCCCTCACTGAGGTCTGCTGTGCTTCAGTGAGAGTTTGTGAGGTAAAAAGTTCATTGGGTGAAAGTTCCTGAGTCTGTGAGGTAAAAGTGCCTGAGGTAAAATTTCTTAAAGCCTAGTCTGCTTCTCTCAGGGCCTCCTGTTTGTTGATTCAGCGCCTGGCGCACAGTTGGCTCTTAATAAATGCTTCCTTCCATCTCACCTTTTCTTCTGTCTTGCTTCTCCCTAGAGATCCTTCTTTCTTTTCTTCTCCTTCCTTCTCGTTCCTTTCCTCTCTCTTTCCCTCCTTTCTCTCTCTTCCCACTCTCCCTTTCTTTCCTTCCTTCCTTCTCTCCTTCCTTGTCTTTCTTCCTTCCTCTCTCCTCCCTCCTTCTCTCCCTCCTTTTCTTCCTTCCTCCCTTCCCTCCCATCCTTTTCCCTTTCCCTCCTTTCTTTCCCTTCCCTCCCTCCTTCTTTCTCTCCTTCCCTCTTTCCTTCCTTCCTTCCCTCTTTCCCTCCTTCCTTCCCCAATTAGATTAAGAGCTCCTTAAGTGGAGCTATGGACCTTTTGATCTGTTGATCCCCAGTGCCTGGCACAACTATCACTAGTCAAAGAATTGTGATTTTATCAGTGAGTGAACTCCCTACACTAACTCAGTTGACATCCAGTTGTCGCTAACTTAATAGATAGCCTTAGAGAATCTGAAATTCAGAGAAATTAAGTGAAATGTCTAGGGCCACCCAGCTGGTAGGTGGCAGAGGCAGGATCTGAACCCAGGCCCAGTACTTTAGCCAGCAGCCCACACTACCTTTCTCTCCTTGAGCATCCTACTATGTTTAATGCAGTTTTAACCATAAAAACTGTGCCAGATAAATGTTTGTTGAATTGATTCTCTGTCGGAGCCACTCCTCCTAGTAGGCAGACTACAGGTCCCAGAGGGCTTTACTCACAGGATGTGGCCCCTCAGTTTCTGTTTCATATTGGTGGTTCCTGGCTCTTGCAGAGATGTGGCATGTCAAAGCCTCAAGAAATGGGGGCAGTGCCAGTGGGCAGAACTAGATTCTAAAGATACAGCAGGGAGGGGATGTGTGGGATGTATCCAGGAAATGCCATCTTCCTCCTTCCAGGGATAGGTGTGTGCCCAGCAGGACCTCCTGCTTCTTCCTTCCTTGTTCATAAAGCAAAATCTGCTCTCAGAACCAAGCTGGAGCTATGGGTGGAGATGTATCAAGGGTGGCAGAGTTGCTGTCCAGAGTGGGTAGGGAGTGGGTCCTGATTACAGAGGAGGCAAGGGTGGAAAAAATGATCTTATTATGATAGTAAAAGAGTACAGAGCATGTCCTTTCCTGCATCCTCCCCAGTGCCCAGATAGCTCATGATGGATGACATTTTTGTTGTTTTTTACCACTGGACCACCCCAGGGCCATCCAATTCAATCTTATTGATGTGTATTAAGTGCCTAATAAGTGCAGGGCACCAAGCTAAGCACTGGAAATGCAATTAATAAAGAGAAAGACAGTCCCTGCCCTCAGGGACTTCACCTTCTAATAGAAGGAGACAACACAGAAAAAGAGGCAGGACAGCAAGGGTGGGGAGGGAGAGACTAAGGGATACTGGCAGATGCAGAATGGAGTGAGCAAAAGTCCAGGTTCTGCCTTCTGTAGAGGAAGGTATTGGGAGGCATTTAGTATTCCACCCTCCGGCCTACCAGGCCATATCCACTGGACAGTTCCAAGACCACTGGCTAACCCTAGGGCCATATTCAGTAATGGGGTGAAAGGGAGCTTGGCAATGACACTCCCTCCCCCTGGAGATCTGTAGCCCTCCCTCTGAATTTCTCTCTCTTTACCTCTCCATTTCTTTCCCTCTTCCCTTTTCTAGTCTCTCCCCCTTCCCGTTTCCCTCTGGGTTCTCTGTATCTCATAAGCAGGCACTCTAGGAGGCAGTTGGTAGCCACAGAACATTAGAGGTCACCTAGTCTGACGTCCTCCATTTTAATAGATGAAGAAGGACCTTGAGCAGTGTCTTAGTATTGCTTCTTCTGGAAATAGCACAGAAACTCCTCTCAGGGACCTCAGCTAGCCCTTCACTCTGCCAAGGGTAGAGATCAGATATGATTGTGCATTTGTTTTACCACCATCCTTCCAAGCTGATGCCAGGGAAATGTGGACAGTAGGTATAGTACTTGGGCACAAGTACAGGGAGAGGATGAGACTGTAATTGAGAGATTAATTCCTCAGACATTATCAAGTTTCTCTTGATGTCTCTAGCAAGGGTCTCTAGCAAGACACTGCTAAGTGCTGAGGATGTAAAGATATATTATATTATATCATATTATGTTATGTTTGTTATGCCATGCTATGTTATGCTATGTTATGTTATGTTATGTTATGTATGTTATGTTATGTTTGTTATGCTATGTTATGCTATGCTATGTTATGTTATGTTACATTACGTTATGTTATGTTATGTTATGTTATGTTATGTTATGTTTGTGTTATGTTATGTTATGTTATGTTATGTTTGTTATGCTATGCTATGTTATGTTATGCTATGTTATGCTATGTTATGTTATGTTTGTTATGCTATGCTATGCTATGTTATGCTATGCTATGTTATGCTATGCTATGCTATGCTATGCTATGCTATGCTATGTTATGTTATGCTATGCTATGTTATGTTATGTTATGTTATGTTATGTTTGTTATGCTATGCTATGTTATGCTATGCTATGTTATGCTATGTATGTTATGTTATGTTATGTTATGTTAAGTTATATTACATTATGTTATATTATATTATATTATACTATAATGTAACATGTTATATCAAATCATATTATATATAATAACAATAGCTAGCATTTATGTAGCACTTCAGGATTTGCAAAGTGTTTTACAAATATTATCTCATTTGATCCTCACAACAACCCTGGGAGGCGAGTGCCATCATCATCTCCATTTTACAGTTGAGGAAACAGAGGCAGACAGAAATTAAGTGACTTGCCCAGAGTCAAATAGCCAGTAAGTGTCAGAGGTTGGATTTGAATTCAGGTCTTCTTGACTCAGAACTTCCTGATTTCAGTGATGTACCTACAATACAGCTGCCTAATATACAATGCCTATTCTTTACAAAATGGAGGGTGGGAAGAAGGGGTTCTTAACCCAAGGTCTGTGAACTAATAAAAAATTCCACAACTATTTTAATGTAATTGGTTTCCTTTGTAACCTATTTTGTACAATATTTTATTTTAAGCATTTAAAAACATTATTCTGAGAAGGGGTCTATAGGCTTCAACAGACTGCCAGTGGGGTCCAGGACACACAAAAATGGTTTAGAACCTTGCTCTGAGAGTTTATGGTCTAGGAGGAAAGATGAGATAGGGACACGAACAGAGACAGAAGAGAAAGGAGCTATATTTAGAAATAATCTCCTCATTCAAACTTAAAATAATTGTGCAAAAGTCTGTAAGGACTAACTCTGCTTGGGAAATACCAATGGAACTTTGGCATATTTCTGTGGAATCTTAGGGCTTTGTCCGTGGAGTACTTAGAAAAATCCTGGTCTAACCCTCTGACCTCACTGGCAACCAGACAACAGAGCAGGGTGGGCGAAAAGGGACTGAGAAGTTCCGGGGAAGAGGCCTTGTTAAACATAGGGAAGCTGGGGAGTCTGGAATATATTTCGGGTTTGTATCTTTTGTCTTTCCAGTTGGCCTGACAGCCTGGAACTGGGAATAATTTTGCTCTGGGGAGCAAAGAAGCAAAGGACTGTCTAAAAGGTAAACAGGGCTCTCTGCTTTTGTCCCCAGAGACACATGGAGCCCAGACACCTGCAATAACCAAGGAACTTCTGAGTCCTGGGGCTGATGCTTGCCCGTTCTGCTGAGGATGGCACCACGCCCCAGTTTCCCACTAGGAAGAAGACTGACCCGAGACACTCCTGGACAGTGATCCTGATGTCTCTTCTGTGCAGAGCATTCAACTGTAAGATAAGTGAGTAAGTTACAGTCCCTGTTAAGGCCTCTGTCACTGTCTTGTCTCTAATTCTGTCAGACATTGCCATTTGGATCTCCTAGTCTGAACCAGCCACAGGGATTGGATGTTCTGAGTTCTAGTACTGTCTGATTCTGCCACCCATAGACCAATGCATGATGAATGAGGGGCCCTTGTACCTCTCCTATCTCAGAGGTGGGAAGCAGTTGGACCTGGGCCAAATATAGGAATATTCTAAGTCTAGAAATGAGTGGCTTTGGGGATCTCAAATCAAGTCAAACACCTGGACCCAGCCTCAAGCAGACCCAAAGGTGAGGATTTCTACTTGTAGACGAGAGCTTAAAATCAAGTGTCAGGGCTTCGTCACCTCTTACCCTAGGTCATTATGATCAGATTTGTCTCTGTAGGATCTTTCAGGTGTTTTTTGTGGTTGTAGTGATCCGTGAGTGCTGGACGTTAGGAAATGGTTTGGTTTACCGGGTGACTCTCAAAAGGGACCACGTTTCTGCACATAGTATCTTACAGGCATCCTGTTCCTGAGAAGAAGAGAAGGCCAGTGAGAGGTCTGTGACAGTTTTCTCATTAGAGGATAGGTTATCTGGGCTGTCTTCTTAGCTTGCCCCCAGACTGTCCACATCCAAGTTTAACCCCAGGCCCCAATTAAAATATCTCATTGCACAAAGCATGGTATGGCCATGACTTTGGTGTCTCTAAATGGGGAGTGGAACAAGTAAAGTGGGATAAGGAGGAATAGACCCATGATATAACTTCAGGGATGGCTCCAGCTCTTCAGTCCTCAGCTTTTGTTGGTGGCTGTAGGCCCCCAAAAGCCAAATATGCCCTTTATTTAGTAGTTGGTTATGCTAAGTCCATGATTCCCCTTAAGAACCTCCCCTCCCACACTGCTGCCAAATTTAGAAGGTTCCTAGGCAGCTTTGCCATCCTGTCTGCCCCTTGGCAATCCAAAAAGCAGCCCACCCTGTCTTCCCTGGGACATCATCAGCTGAGGCTTGATACAAACCATCAGAGCTTTCCTGCAGTATTCTGGGAGCTGAGAATGTGTTGGAGGTGTGTCCTGGTGTGTGGGCTCTTGAATGCATAGGCTAGTGACCACCTGTTAGTGTGTGTGTGTGTGTGTGTGTGTGTGTGTGTGTGTTTGGCAAGAGGGAGGAAAGGGAGGAGTGTATTTAGCTCACATAGACCTGTGTATATTTAGCACATGTAGTCCTGAGTATAATGAGCTTTGTTCCCTGGGAGGACCTCATCTGAAACCTACAAAAATTTAGCCTCCAGGAGAGATAGAGATATCTCATAAAAACTTAGCTCCGCCTCTCCTTAATCATTCACCCAGAAATGTAGATATTAGTCCTCCTGCTTCCTGATTCACTCCTTCCCCACCTCCCAACCCCAGCCTCTTGGAAACAGGAATTTAACGCATCTGTGAAACCTCGGTAGTCCAGATTCACTGAATTGGAGAAAGGAACCTAGCAGTAAAACAGGGAGTGCTGCCTGGAGAATGACAGCCACATTGGAGGACTGTTCCACTCTTCATGATACTAGCATCATCCATCCCAAGGCTGCAGGTGGGCTGCCTCAGGAGGTAGTGATCCCCTCCATTGGAAGTTTTCAGGCAAAGATTGGATGACCACTCACTGAGCAGGTTGTAGAGGGAATCTTCTTCAGGAATGAGTTGGGTTACACAGCTCCTGGAGTCCCATCCAACTTTGAAATTCTATGATTCCATTTCCTTTCACCTGTCCATCTTCTGTGACTAAGATGACCACATGTATTTTCTTCTTCTCTAGCCTACATGGCCAGATACTCTTCTTGTGATTGGTCAAGTCTTAGAAACCACAGAGAGGGGGCAACTAAGTGGCGCAGTGGATAGAACTCTGGCCTTGGAGTTAGAAGGACCTGAGTTCAAATGCAGCCTCAAACACTTAACATTTACTAACTGTGTGACCCTGGGCAAGTCACTTAACTCCAATTGCCTCACAAAAAAAAAAAGAAAAAAAGAAAGAAACCACAGAGGACATTCAAGGAAGCTGTTGCTTCTTAGATTGAGAAGCCACAGTATTCCTCTAGCATCTCACCCCATTCTACTGCCAACCCAGTACTATACAGAAAATCTCCTCCCCATGTCTCTGGTGCTCTCTCACCTCCTGTCACCTCCACTTGGAAAGACAGTGCATATCCATAAAGCATGTAACTGAGGTAATTTTGGTGCCTCAGGATAGGGAGGGTGAGAGCTGAAATGAATGAGAAGTGATTGAAGGTCTTGCTGACCTGAGCTGGATGGGAGGGGGCCGGGTAAAAGAACCATACCCCTATTCTTTTTAAAACAATATAGCCCCATTTTGTGGGAGAGATTCCCACTGAGTGATCTGATAGTGATGCCCATCCTTTTAGGGAAAAGAGGGGAGGCAGCCAGACCTGTCATGAATTGAGAGTTTTTTGTTGAAAGAGAGGAAAGGTATTTCTCCCTGGTTTCAGCCTCACTTCTATGCTTGTGGCCTTCTAGCCCCTTTCAGTCACTGGCTCTGTCCCAGCTCTACTAACCCATGGAAGTGGTCCAAACAATACCTCATCCCCTAGTTGATGTAATAGCCAAATGTCAGGAAAAAGGCATCAGGTGAGAGAACTCAAGGACCATTAGGGCAGGAACCTCCTAAGTGTAAGCACTCTTCTCCCTTCAGCTACTAACTTCCTGTGCTTAAGAGGCAATAATTCACCTGACCCTACAATGGCACTTTGGGCTCCAAGCCCTTCCTTGGAAGCCTGTGTTTCTGTTCACCTTCATGGGAGAGGTCCTTGAATTTGAGTGCTGCTACCTGAAGCAAACACCCCATACCCATGGCACCACCCCCTTTCTCTTTTGTTCTTATACTCCTTTCCTTCTCCTTCCTCCATTCTGTGTTTGTCCTCCTTCATGGAGCCCAGATACTGCTGAGTTTTCAGAATAAGCATGTAAGTATCTAGGAAGAATCAACTCAATTGGGGTCAAGCTGATTGGAGAGCTAAGGGCAGGGGTTTGGGGCATGATAAACCTGACACAGAGAGGGGTTGGCTCCCTATAGCTTAGGGTTCAAACACGGTTAGTATGGTTTATTATCAGGAGCTTAGGGGAAGTTGAGTTCTAAAAATTCAAACAAGTCTGCCCTCCCTTCATCTCTAACTCCCCACTCTAGCCCTATGCTGTCACAGATGACAGTGATACCATTTCAATCTTCTCTCCCTGACCTTCAACCCTCTGACCTCAGCCTGGTCTTTAAATCTCTCCCACCTCCTACCCCCAAGGGGGTCACCCTCTGAGATAAGGATGTAGTTATCCAATGACTCTAGTCTGGCTCTGCCTATACCATTCTCTGGGCAGCTAGGTGGTGCAGTGGATAGAGTACTGGGTCTTGAGGCAGGAAGACCTGAGTTCAAATGTGGCTTCAGATACTTTACTAGTTGCGTGACCCTGGACAAGTCACTTGACTCTGTTTGCCTCAGTTCCTCATCTGTAAAATGAGCTGGAGAAGGAAATAGGAAACCATTCCAGTATCTGCGCCAAGAAAAACCCCAACAACAAAGTACTATTCTCTCCCATCCTGTTCTTTCTTGCCTCTTAGAAACTAAAACCAGGCCTCTTTTTCATCTCATTCTTTCTTTCCACTTTTTCTCTTTCTTATCTGCTTATTTTCCTTTGCTCTGTATTCATTCATTCATTTATTTATTTATTTGTTTGTTTGTTTATTTATTTATTGGCAATTGGGGTTAAGTGACTTGCCCAGGGTCACACAGCTAGTAAGTGTCAAGTGTTTGGTCTGAGGCCAGATTTGAACTCAGCTCCTCCTGATTTCAGGGCTGGTGCTCTATCCACTGTGCCACCTAACTGCCCCATTTCTTTTCTCCATTAGAGATCTCTTACCCTCCCCTACCCCAGTACTCCAACTCATCTGATCCTGGAGGGAAGCCCTTAAAGGCTCTGAAGGTTGATATTTTTGTGTCTCATCTGCTCTTGGACACCCCCAAGAAGTTGGGGAACAGGGTGGGGATAAGCAGCAATTCTTAACTGGTCAGAGAAGAATTTTTTTTCAAAGATTGAGTAAGGGTGGAGTTTTTAGCTGAATGAAGAAGGAGGTCATTATATAGGACTTAGCATCTGACATCCAGTCCAGGAAGAGTTCCTAGGCCAAATCCCCCATTCCCAAGGGGCCAAATGTGCCAGTTCCCTTAAAATGAAAAGAAAAACCCATTTTCATCTTGAGGGTCCTGGTCCATACCCTATTGGGTTGGACAGTTGAGAAGTATAAGGTCATAGATGAATATAGATACAGCGGAAGCCCAGTGGGAACTTGAGGATGTTTATCTGTGTGACTCTTGGTTTCTTACTGTATCCAGGAGTTGCCTGCTTGGAGGAGAGAGGAAAAAAAACCCTCTACTCTTTCTCAGATCACCTCCTCTTCCCAAACGTTTTCTGAACCTTCCTTCAGTAATCTAGCCAACAGGACCTTTCCTCCCACCTGGTGCTCTGGGGACCTTTTAGGATCTTGATTTCTTTAAGAGTCTGTGTCCCAGAGCTGCTCCATTTTTTTTTGGTATAATCTTGGGTCCTGAATTCTCTTCCTCATTCTCCTTCCAGCACTATCTAAGAAATCACTTCTGTGGTCTGGGGAAACGATTTTTGACATATTTGTTCTGGTCTCTTCACCTTAGTACTGTCTGTTTCTATTCTTTTTATACTCTCAGTTGGAGGCAGATGCCTTTCATTAACTCCTTTTTCCTTGTTGTTTGTTCAATACCAAGAATATAATGCCCAAATTGCAGGATCCTCATTTTTCTCCAGGCCAGCTCAAGGGTCCAGTCTGTTTCTTCTGAAGCCCAATTCTAAAAGAAACTCTTTTAAAAATATATGTACATATATGTGTGTGTGTATAGATATAGATATATACATATATATATATATATGTATATATATATATATATATATATATATAGAGAGAGAGAGAGAGAGA